GGAAGAAAATGGATGGATGGATGGATTTTAATCAAAACACCATATTTGCCTGTTTCTCCATACACCACTTTTAGACTTAATCTTCATTTCGATGTGATGGGTCACATTTATTTAAACTTTATTAGAGATTCTTTTGGGATTATTTTGATATAATGGACATGGAGACAGAAAACAAAAGAGTAAATGGCTTGAACATCTCCGTATCYTGCCTCATCAAGTCCATACAGACCTCAAAGCTCTGTACACTTCATTCATTCACACACTGATGGTGGTAAGCTACATTGTAGCCACAGCTGCCCTGGGGCACACAGACAGAGTGGGCTGCCATGCACCAGTGCCACTGGACCCTCTGACCACCAGCAGCATGGTGAAGTGTCTTGCCCAAGGACGCAACTGAGACAGGTGGAATGGGGGATTGAACCGACAACCTACTGGTTACAGGACCACTCCCCTATAACCTCTCTGCCACAGCCGCCCCACAAACTAGAAAAGAACTGAGAAAGGTGAAGAAAAACGTTAAAAGAGAAGAGAAAGAAGCATAAAGAGAACACAAGACAATACCTTTGAAGCCTGCCTCTACATCTGAGAGGAAACAAAACAGAAAAACCACAGCAACAAACAACATATTATTTATTTAATGTTATTTATCCAGGCAAATCCAACTGAGATGACAGATCTCTTTTTCAAAGGAGGCCTGAAGGCAGAATATTCTACAAGTCTGTGGGGATGGGGGAAAGTACCCAGGAGAAGATGCAAACTCCACACAAAAAGACCCCAGGTCTGAATATTTTTTAATTGAGTGGTGTGGAGAGGTGACAAGGTGTCAGTATCTTACCTGCTGCAGATGGGTCTGGGAACGAGCTCAGTTTGTGGAAAAAATACATTATTTCTGAGTGACTTGATGAACTAATCACTAGTCAGAACAGAGCTCAGACCAAAGCAGATTACCAACATTTTTTCTAATGTTTTATAGCAGTTTAATGCTAATTTATAAACCAGAACATTACTGTCAGTTTTACATCAAGAGGTTGACATAGATGCACATGCTTTTCTGAACCAAAAAGTAGAAATGTTAATGTCAAATTGATTTCTATAGCATGTTAAAAACTAGAAGCACTCAGAGAGTGCAAACCTCCACCAAGTCCAATTTACCCCATCCTGTAAGAGTTAATGCACAAAAGCAGAGATGGAAACACATTTGCCGAATAAGTTCTGATGTAGCAAACATTTAAGCAGRAGTATGCACGGGATTTCTTCCCGGTGGAGTCCAATGTGGGAAAAAAGGAAAAAAGTCAGACATCACCTGACGTTATTGCTGAAAGCTTTGGTGTCAGTGCTAAGTGATTTAAAAAAGCAGAGATTTCATCGCACGTCTAATCACACAGACACACATGCGTCTTCCTACAGTATCTTTGTGAGGACCACACACAGTGGTCACAACCACGCTCTGCACATTAATTTTTCACCAAAGTTTGTCGACAGGTGGATAGAGGGGCACACAAAGAGCTTTCGACTTGATCTGGCCTCATTTAAATAATAATAAAAATGAACAAACAAACAAACAAACAAA